GCGTCAGCCTTCAGCTCAGGTCATGATCCCAGGATGCTAGGATGGAGCCCCATATCTGGCTCCCTGCTAAGCTTCTCCCTCTGCCTGGCACTTCCCCTGCTTGTGCTCTCTCTGTCAAATAAATAAATAAAATCTTTTTAAAAAAAGAAAAAACCCAGGGGGCCTGGGTGGCTCAATGGGTTAAAGCCTCTGCCTTCAGCTCAGGTCATGATCCCAGGGTCCTGGGATCGAGCCCCACATCGGGCTCTCTGCTCAGCACAGAGCCTGCTTCCCCCTCTCTCTCTGCCTGCCTCTCTGCCTACTTGTGATCTGTCTCTCTGTCAAATAAATAAATAAAATCTTTAAAAAAAAAAAAAAGAAAGAAAAGAAAAAAAGAAAAAACCTGTATTGACCATTTTAAGAAAAGCTAGTTCAATCATATGTTTATAAAACATTCCTATTATTGTATCAGTCATTGAAAGATTTTCTTACATGACTAAGTATGAAGAAGGTATTATTTTTTAAAATATCACTACGTTGTTAGAAACCATCTTCCCTTTTAGAAGCCTGTATATTCTAGCCCTGTGTTGTTACCATTGTCTGTGGAAGGATCCCTTTAAGAACTAGTTTAAAAGTTATGAGTCTTCTCAGAGGAAAATGTAAATACACATAAAATTTTATATATAATTTCAGGGGTTTATGGATCTCTTAAAATACCAAATTACTAAGTTCTGGTCTAGCCTCTCAATCACTAATGGCATTTTACATTAAACAACATATACAGTTTTACCAATTTTTCTCACTTCAATAAATCTTCCTTCTTTGGACTGCTTCCCTCATTACAGAAACTACTGACCAGAAATTGCAAATTACAACCTATCACTGCACAACACTTAGTGCTGATACTTTTTTAAATACAGTTTAAAATTTTTTAAAATAGGTTTTTTTGTTGATGGTAGTAATTTCTGCTTTTGGTTTTTGTTCTGTGGTTTTGGGTTTTGGGTTTTTTTTTTTTTTGAGATTTTATTTATTTATTCAAGGGAGAGAACAAGAGACAGAGCACAAGCTGAGGGGGAGGGACAGAGGAAGAGGGAGAAGCAGCCTCCTTCCTGAGCAGGGAGGCTGAGCAGGGAGGGAGCCCAACATGGGGGTCCCTCCCAGGATCATGACCTGAGCCTAACGCAGACCCTTAACCAACTGAGTCACCCAAGTACCCCTACTTTTGGTTTTTTAATCTAAGTAGATGTTTGATGGATAATGTTCCATTCTAATCAACATAATTAAAATGGAATTCCCTGGGAATAGAATGCATATTGACGCACATACATATTGACGCACATGAAAAATAGCAATAAATCACTACCTCAAATCATCAACCTGAAAAAATTACCTTTTGATAATATAAAAATTAAAAATTTAGAATGCACTGCAAAATATTACCTATCTACATAAGGTATCAAATAAAGGAGGAAAAAAAACATAAAAAGCTTTATTGGAAGAAATAAAAATTACCGAAGTAGAAAACAAGACATGCCTAAAAGAGCTAGGAAACCACACCACAGAATTATTCTAAGTTGTAATCAGTTAAAATAGTGCCAAATTATTCAGAGAAGTAGAGTTTGATGACCAAGTAAACACCATCATAACTGGTGTTTAAAATGTCACCAATCAGGGCACCTGGGTGCCTCAGTCAGTTAAGCATGTGACTTTGGCTCAAATCGTGGTCTTGGGATCTCGGGATGGAGCCCTACACCAGGCTCTCTGCTAAGGAGGGAGTCTGCTTCTCCCTCTGCCCCTCCCCCAGGCTCGTGTGCACTCTCTCTCTCAAATAAATAAAACCTTAAAAAGAAAAAGGTCACCAGAGCGGTTTCAGCAGGGTAAGTAAGGCAAAAGTGAGAGAGAAAAGGATTAAGAAATCAGTGCATAGTGAGGATGTCAACAGTGAGGGCAGAGTATTCTGAAACCTCCAAAGGCAAGAAGCTAAAAGAGGACCTCTTTATTCGAGTGGGATCATGAAGTTCATGCTAAGATCAACAGAAGTTTCAGTGTGTCTGGGGACCCTATGCCAGGCACTGGGGACACAGAATTATATGTCATATCCCCACCTCCTAGGAGCGTCTAGTCTAGTGAGAGAGAGCAATGCCAACGGGCAATTATCATTCTTCAGTAATAGAGATCTGTACAGAGAATTCTGGGAAAACGGGAGGCACCTCCCACCTTTGCCCGTAGGATGAGGAGATCCTAGAAGGCGTAAAGAACAAGGAGTGACCAAACCAGAGAAAAGGTATTCAAGTCAGACTGGATGTCACAAGGCATCGTGTGGAGCAAACACTGTGGCTCAGGGTAAAGTGCGCGGCTGGGTGTCTCGGGGGTACTGTGATCTCCAGGAAATCAGTGAGTTAGTGCATGAAATCATCCACTGGGGAAGACACCAAGGGTGGCAGCTGTCAAGGCAAGCAAGACGAAAGGCATGGAAGCAAGGTGCCCAAAGGTCTCACCAAGACGGGTGAACATGGGCTGCAGACGAGAAAGACCAACAGGGAGGCTGAGGGCCTGGAGACTACATGAAGGTGAGGGAGACAGAATGCAGGAGGTACGGAAGGAGAAGGGTCCATTCAAAGCAGCAAAGTCTGGAGTCTGGGTTCCTGGAAGAAAAGCAGCTGGAGTGGCAGTCACAGTCCCCTGAGCAAACAAGGCAGAAGAGTCTCGAGACCCCTGTGGGACAAGGTGAATTCAGCTGGGGCAGTGCTGTGAGCACACCTGGAAAGATTATAAACCACAGCGGCTCCGCTAGCAAAGAAGGTGGAGAGGAGCAGGAGTAAGTCCAGAGACTTGAAATGGAGCCCCTACTTTACTTTGCAGCCTTGAGCAAGTCACCTGCCTCTCCCGGGCCTCCCCTTCTGCACCGATAAAATTAGCTGGCTGGACTAAATGGTCATTTCAACTCCTAAAATTATTTCAGATAGCTTTTGAATCTGGAAATAATAGCTAGGGAGCTGAGAAGGCATTCATAAACTGGGTTGAAAAACTCTCACTGTTATTTCTTACCCAAGGTCATAAATATTCCATTAGTAACTTTCTTTGGCATAAGACATTACAATTTGCAAACACTTTTTAAGTATATTTTCTAATATAACCCTAACCACTCCTCTGTGGGAGCTTGATAATCCCAGAGTTATAGCTAAAGAAACTGAGATTCCATAAGGCTGAAGCAACTGTAGCTTTGGATTTGTAAAGTCAGTCTTTTTCTCCTAATATAGAGATTCTACTTGGATGCTTCGAAATAACCCATGACTTATTAACTTTTGGGTTTTGAACATTCATTCCTTCAGCAAGTAACAGGGTGCCCAATAGCTGTATCGAGGCTAAAAATGTCCTTCTTGCAATCCATTAGATTACCTGAACGCTGAAATGAACCAAGGGATTGCTAAACTCTATTAAGCTTACATATAACGTTGAAAGAAAGCTTTGTAAATGAAAACAAATTGAAACAGATCCATGTATACACTTATCTCTAGGGTTTGGTACTGAATATGGTAGAAAAATAGCCTTACTCAAGCCAACTACTCTTACGTAACTGCTGTAAATAGAACACCAATTCAGAGCAAAAATTTATTTTCAAAATAATGATTCTCTTCTCTTCAATCTTCTAAATAATAGGTCACAAATTGTTAATTGTAATACCCAGTTCACACCAACTACATACTAAGAGGGCTAATCAAGAAAGCAAAAAAACAAAATTCCTAGGTCCTCAAAAGGAAGAAATAAGCTTCAAATATTTATGAACTATCCTTTCCTTGTTAATTCATCTACTAAAAATTCACTTTATGTTTTTATATTAAATCCTTTTTAGGATATTATTTGCTTCCTCGGTGATTACAAAAGTTTCAACTTTAATTTCTAAACTATAGGCAGTAGCTTCTTTTCTGAAGAATGTAGATCAGTTAAAGGAATTTACATACATCTTTTCAAGTCAGATAATACTTTATAAATTAATTCTTTAAACAGTTGATTCCAACAGATCTTGTGTTATAAAATGATTGACTAAAAAAAATATCTTTTTGGTATTCATTCATGACCATTTAGCATTTTCAGATCAATGACAAAAATCTGTGAATGCACAACATATTTTACAGAAAATTCTCTACCACAGACTGTCTTATACCTAAGTTCAATATAAATCAATCAAATCAAAAGATGATCACCAAGCAGCTAATATGTATAAGGCACTGTACTATGTCACATCAGTAACATTTTAACCAGCAAAAAGAATAAATGACCTGAGCATTGTAATTTACCAGTCATCTTTAACAGCATGCTGGGTGGTATTTGACCTTCCAAGCCGAAACATTACATTTAAGATTCTCATTTAGAAAACTGGAAGAAAAAGAGAAATGTTCCTTTCTATGTGATGAAATAAATTTACCGAAACCAGGAGTATACATATTGCTTTTCCTCATATATGTTGGGAGTTAAAGAGGAAAAAAAAAAACAAGTAAAATCAAAAATATAGATGAACACCGCATGTATAACCCAAATTCTGTCATAACAGGTAAAGTCCCTATTGTATCACTACTAGTTCATCAATCTCAGCTGTTAATTCTACAAAGATGACCTTCAAGAAATATGTAAAATTTTCAATATTGATCAGACAGGAAAGGCTCCAGAGCTTCTGCCATGCAGGGATGAGTCCCTTTATCACCCGGTTTCAGAAAAATCATCCTAGGAAGGAATTTGATAGACTCATTAAACAACAACCTGAAAGGATTTGTGCTTTCTTTCTTAGATCACTATTCCAATGACTTCATTCCAGCTCACATTTCAATTCATCCTGAAAAATGAAAGAGGTTAACGTGTCCTTTATGGAATACTCAGGCGGATCAGTTTCAACTTCTGGGTGAACTACTCATAAAAATATCCAAAGATCAAGATGACCTAACTAAATGGTGTGTGCACAGCAATCCCAGTGGTCAAAGTCCCAATGTTTAATACCAAAATATAAACAGCACCATAATACTCACTTTCAGTTTCTTGTTTAGTTTACAGCAGTATCTGTACACCATTGCCAAGTTCAGAGGTCCAAAATCTGCATAAAAACTGAGATTTAAAATAAAAAAGTAGTATTTAGTAGAAATATGATTTTCGGTAACATCAATACTCATTTTCATTTTCATTAAAATTACAAACAAATTTCAGTTATCATCAAGAATAAGGTTCAATATATAACTGATTCGTAGAGCCCAAATAACTCGTGGTTTCACCCTACAGAGGATCACAAATCACTATAACCAGTCTCCAGTCTCTTAACAGGGAACTGTTTGGACAGTTCTGAGTTCTACCTCCTCCTATCTCCCTGCCAGGACACTCAGGAAAAGGACTGAAAAGCAGGCAACAAAAGAAGCAACAAGAACATAACACGTATGTTCACTTTCTCCTTGTACTTATCACCTACTCAGTCACCAATTCTAACTATTCTCCTCAAACACTGCTCTCAGTTCTCAAGGATCTTCAATCTAGTGGTCTTCTTTCTCGTTTCCTTCTTGAACTTTGCATCATGTGACACACAGACCCTTCTCCCTCTCCCCACCTGGGACATCTCCAGGCTACAGTCAGCAGTCCGCGGTTCTCTCGTACCTACTATCATGAATTTCACGGATAACCCTATGGAAGAGAGATCGACAGCTTCCACACTTGAGACCCAGCATCAGCCTTTTCATCTTCATCTACCTCCGAACCTCACATTTACAGGTCCTTCCATCACCTGGAACTCAGAACAGCTAAAACTCAACCCATCCTTCCTTCAAATCAGCCCGCCAGACTCAAAACATTTGCTTCTGACAGTTACTCAGGCAGGAAAACTTGCAATCACAACATGGCAACAAATTAATATCAATTTAATTCTCATATACCAGAAAAGCCACTACTCTTAAGTCATCCCTTGCTTGTCCGTTTCCTATGTTAGCAATGAAAGGCCAGAGCCTTTTCATCTCACATCCTTAATGTTTAAATTCTGCCTCTCCCCAGCCCAATCATCCTGTATTACACTCTGAAGATTAATCTTCATAATATCTCACTTCTCATGTTATCTTCCCACCCGTCAAAAATGTTTAATGGCTCCTTGCTCCCTTCAGAATAATTCCTTGGCCCAGCAGTCAAAGCCCTACACCTCATCCCTCTAGCTTCCAGGATGACCTTACCTCCTGAAGGGCCCCATATAGGATCTGTATTCCAACAACCATGTCCATCCCTTATTCCCAAATACTCCATGGCATATTCTTAATCCAAGCCTCAACTCACACTGGTCTCCTTGGCTGGCATGCCCTCCTTTTCCTCTTTCTGCTCCTCTCTAACTTCCTCAAAATCCAGTTCAAATCCTACCTTTCCAGTCACCCTTAGGAAAAACTACCCTTCTCTCAAAGTTCCCAAAACTTACCATCTGAGACACTATTACATAATGTTGAATTAGCTTTTTTTTTTTTTAAAGTGTAGATCCTACCTGCCCAACTACAGAGTAAGCCTCTCTCTCTAGGGCTGTATCTTATCAGTATAGGTTGAGAAGAATATCTTGCTCATAATAAAGAACTTCAACAAATGAGTCCTCATTATGACTATTTTGCTCATTAATGCTCAGGTTCAATTTCACTAGGCCATAAATTTACTAAATATCAACAAGTTTCCAAAAAAATCCACCCCCCAAAGACCTTCATTTTGAGGGAGTCATTTACATTTTTTTCTGCTACTTAAATTAGAGTGTCATAGATATGTCACTACACTACATCAAATCTGCCAGGAACCACTTGTCTTACATAGGAATACTAAACTTGTATATATTTTTTAAGATTTTATTTATTTTATTTTGAGAGAGTGGGCAAGAAAGCATGAGCAGGGAGGAAGGGCAGAGGCGAGAGAGAGAGAGAGAAGCAGACTCCATGTTGAACAAGAAGCCGGAGAAATCTAGGCTTGATCCCAGGACCGTGAGATCATGACCTGAGCCAAGGCAGACACTTAACTGACTGAGCCACCTAGACGCCCCTAAACTTGTATATTTTATCTACATTAATCAAGTTGGTAATATTTTGGAACTTATATTCTAGGTAACACCAAAATTAGCTGTCCCTATACACAAGCTTCATGAGAGTTAAAAACACAGAGTTGCCCCAAAAAAAGGAAACTTGCAATAATTTGATGTAAAAAGTTATTGATATATTTCTAAAAAGTTCCTGGTGTACTGCTGTGTTGTAAGTATAAACAAAATACCTATGAATCCAAAATGAACTATGTTTTATTGTATCTAATTACTGACCCGTCTTGGATGGTCAACAAGAATCCACTCAAATGAATCAAAATGAAAAAAAATCTAAAAATAAGCACCTCCCAGCATGATGAAAACAGCCCTGTTTCTATTACAAAGATTTCTTTGTCCTTGAGTTATTGGAAGCAACACTCTTGGCTAATATATCTTGTTTTTTCCTACTCAAACATGAATGCTTAAAGATAAGGTGAATCTAGAATTTTTAGCTATGGTTCTATCAGCTTTTTAGATTCACTTTGAATAAATTTCAGGAAAGCATAAAAAATTTGAAGCATCTAATTCCAGTTTAGTACTAACCATTAGAAGCCAACTTCATTTTCAACTACAGTTTCAAACTGTATAGTTTCTAACTGCAGAGCCCACTTAGCCACCTGTACTTTTGGAAGCAATATGGTTAAAAAACACACCTGTTTCACCAAGCATCAGATAAGTAAACTAGTATACTCCAATAAGACAAGAAAAAGTACATCAAATACAAACCATGTCCTTAAGTTGATCTGTACTCTCCAACATGGTAGCCAATAGCCACCTGTGGCTATTTAAATTTAAATTAATTAAAGTTATACACCCTATTTCTATCACAGCATTATTTACAACAGCTAAGATATGGGACCAACACAAGTGTACACACATAGATGAATGAATAAAGAAGAAGTGGTGTGTATGGACACACACACACACACACACACACACACACAGGAATATTACTCAGCCATAAGAAAGGATGAGATCACACCATATGTGACGACATGGATGGACCTAGAGGGTATAATGTTAAGTGGAGTAAGTCAGATTGAGAAAGACAAATACCATATGACTGTACTCATATGTGGAATCTAAAAAAGCAAATGAATAAACAAACACAAAGCAGAACCAGAGAGCAAACAAAATGGGTGAAGAGGGGTGGGAGATACAGGCTTCCAGTTATGGAATGAATAAGTCATGGGGATATAAGCTTCAACACAGGGAAAATAGTCAACGGTACTGTAAAAGTGTTGTATGGTGACTGACAGTAGCAAATTTGTGGTGACTGTAGCATAACGTATAGAGATGTTGAATCACTATGTTGTACACCTAAAACTAATGGAATATTGTGTCAACTATATTCAAATAAAAAAATTTTAATTAATATTAAAGTTAAATAAAATAAAAATTCAGTTCTCCCATCATATTAAGTAACCCATTTCAAGCATTCAAAAACTACATGTAGCAATGGCTACTGATTTGGAAAATGAAAATATAGACAATGTTCTGCAATGACAGAAAACACCAATCAAGATAAAAAGATAAGAGGAGAACAAAAATAAGTATAAAACACTAGAGAAATTGCCAAGGAACCTGAGTGAGGTAAGGATAAAGTCTTTGAAGAAATTGAGGTCCTTCCCCTTCAGAGGCTCACATGCTCCCAACAGTGAAATTAGGCTCTGGGAATTCCTCTCCCCTTTTGTTCAAGGTCGTCATATTTCCAAAAAGACAATTAGAGACCTAGAGCAGGGGAGGAGAGAAATAGAAGGGATCCTGGACCCATTCTCCTCTACTGTCCCTCAAAGAAACAAGCTGCGGGAAGAGCATCAGACAGCTACACCGAAGACGCTACACCTGCATCTTGACCACGACACCAAGTAAAGGGTAGATGAAAAGCAACCTGAACCCAGAGTTTCCCACATCACAAGATCTTAAAGCTAAGTGGGCCAGCTTTCATATTTCACAAAAAGGGAAATGAGCCTCAAGTCATACTAAGAAATGGAGTCAAAACCTTTGCACAGCCAAAAGCAATTTAAAACAGGTCTTTAAAAGTCAGAATTGTTGGGGCACCTGGGTGGCTCAGTAGGTTAGGGCCTCTGCCTTCAGCTTGGGTCATGATCCCAGGGTCTTGGGATCGAGCCCCGCATCGGGCATTTTGCTTGGCAGGGACCCTGCTTCCTCCCCTCTCTCTTTGCGTGCCTCTCGGCCTAATTGTGATCTCTGTCTGTCAAATAAATAAATAAAACCTTAGAAAAAAAAAATCAGAATTGTTGCAGGCAAATACAAAGCCAACAAACTCTACCTTAAGGTCATTTTATATATTCCTTCCTCATAAGTGTTGGCATTTCTAAGAATATATATGTATTTATAATAATAGAGTTTTATGTTTTTATATTGTTTTCTTACTGGCTAAATACATTTTGAAAATGTCAAGATCATTGGGGGAAAATGGTCATGGCTGCTCACACTGTTCTGGGTTATCACCAACTTTGATACAATAAAGCACCATGAATAAAGAACACGCCTTCCAACAACAAGCTTCTTTTTTTTTCTTTACTTTTTTATTTAAATTCCAGTTAGTTAACAGAGAGTATTAGGTTTGAGGTGTACAATATAGTGACTCAACATTTCCATACAATACCTGCTGCTCATCACAAATGCTCTCCTTAATCCCTGTCACCTATTTCACCCATCCTCCTGCCCATCTCCTCTCTGGTAACCAGCAGTTTGTTCTCTATGGTTCCACAGTATGTTCTCTAGAGTTAAGGGTCTGTTTTCTTGGATTGCCTCTCTCCCTCTCTCTCTCTCTCACTCTCTCTTTTTTTTCTCTTTGCTCACTTGCTTTGTTTCTTAAATTCCACATATGAATGAAATCATATGGTATTTGTCTTTCTCTGACTTATTTGGCTATAGTCTCTAGCTCTACGCATGTCATTGCAAGTAGCAAGATTCCATTCTTTTTATGGCTGAGTAATATTCCTGTGTGTGTGTGTGTGTAGACACACACACACCTTCTTTATCCATTCATCAACAGACACTT